CGCGTGAATGCACTGTGAGACCATTGTGCGCGCATTTTGTTATCTGGGAACATGATGTTAAAATGACGTCCTTGCAATGACGTCAATAATTTTGCGACATTAGTACGTCATTAGTACGTCATTAAAACGTCATTTAATGACGTCAGTCATGGTCAGTAAATGACCCAAATTTGACGTCAAAATGACGTATATTTGCTACCTGGGTAAGGGTATTTTACTTTTGAGCGCGATCGCTCGCGGAAGCATTTCCTGTTCAAAATTCGGGTTTCCAACGCTTCGATGTAAATGATTTTGCATATATGAGTTGTGCTAGCCTTTTTTTTTTTTTTAACGTTGGGAAATGCATTTCGCATACCCGCCTCTTTCGGGGGAGAGGGGCGGGTTATGTCGGACTCTCCTCTGTGAAACGAAAAATCCACAGGGGCCTACCGACTAAAACCCAACGGGGAAGCCACCTTAACGATAATCGGAGGGGGGCCTGGGCACTCGAAGATTACTACTATCAGGCCCCCTCCACGCCAGTTGTTATCGCAACCCTAACTAAACAGCGCGGAGAGTTCCCACCCCTCCGTGCCCTATAACGAGAGACGCCGAAAAGGAGCAACGGGCCCCCGCCAACGGGTTACCCCAAGCGTACAAAGGGGAAAGAAACGGTGCGGGGAACCCTCAAACTTAAAGTTGGAGAGGAGGGCCACACGCATCGATCCAACCCATCCACCGTACACACACACAGTCCACCAATGTGAAACCTACTCACCGCCTATGCCGACTAAGCCCGGATCCTCATACGGACAACAGCGCTTTGACACCGGACGCTGATTGGTGAAAAACGGGTTATGGGGGTAAATTTTACCCTCGCCACCGGTTTTTCACCAATCAGCGTTTGATGTTAAAGCGCTATTGCCCGTATGAGGATCCGGGCTAAGATCGCCCCGCTAGCCGGTGCGACCCAGTCAGCCTACTCCATCACCACGTGGAAGGCAGCACCGCGCTCGGTGATTCGGACCCAACACGTGGTACGCCCTTCACCGGCCATGGGACACCCCGCTAGTCGGTGCGTCCTGCTCCCTACAGCTAGCACACTCACACCGACTTTCACGCCATAATATTTACAAAATCATCCTAATATACATATATATATGGGGCATTTTACGCGAAGTGATCCACCCAAAAAAAATTTCTTTTTCCGATCGGGCTGAAATTTGCACAATCTATTGTTCTATCAACCATGATAACTCAGAGCAATTTTTACGGTGTTTGTGCAACGCGTTGTCTACTTACAGGGGCTCAAAGTTTCGGCGTTGAGAACGTTATGTCAAACTTCTCACTTCTATAATTTCTAGTGAACAGCACCGATTTTAAAAAACGACCAGTGATTCTTGAAGCATTTTTTACGTACTTTGATAATATATTATGAATGTTTAAAGAAAAACATTAATTTTTCGATATTTTGCAAAATTAACATTAAATTTCGATTTTTCTCAAAGAAAGACATCTTAGATTTTAATTTAAAAAATATGAAAAAAAAGAAGACAATTTTTCCAATAAAAAAGTTTCTTACTTCCAAGTTGGAGAAATTACTCCTTCTCGAGTTATAAGACATTTTGTGTCTGAACTCGTACTCCGAGCCTCCGCAACACGCATCGCCAGCCGAGAGTCGCGGCATTCCATGACTCTCAACTTTCGTCCTTCTTTTGTTTCCGATTTTAAGTTTTTTAAAGATAACGTTTGTTTCTCCTCTTGCATTGACTTCAAGTGTTTTAGCAGCCGGTAGATGGCCGATTTTCTCGAAATTGAAGTCACTTTCAGATTCCTATAGATGCAAAACTGACCGACTCGTGGTTTTGAAACGAATGATATATTATTACACTGAGAAAAAGAAATTGTTGACTCAACTAAATTGGCGGTCACGGGCTGTCAAGCAAATATTTTGTTAATTCAAAAATATGTCCTGTCGAAATAAATAAGTCATTGTTCAATGTACTACTGCGTATTTGACTCAAATACATTAATATTTCGACTAGCAAAATATTTGCTTGACAGCCCGTGACCGCCAATTTAGTTGAGTCAACAATTTCTTTTTCTCAGTGTAATAATATATCATTCGTTTCAAAACCACGAGTCGGTCAGTTTTGCATCTATAGGAATCTGAAAGTGACTTCAATTTCGAGAAAATCGGCCATCTACCGGCTGCTAAAACACTTAAAGTCAATGCAAGAGGAGAAACAAATGTTATCTTTAAAAAACTTAAAATCGGAAACAAAAGAAGGGCGAAAGTTGAGAGTCATGGAACGCCGCGACTCTCGGCTGGCGATGGCGATGCGTGTTGCGGAGGCCGGAGTACGAGTTCAGACACAAAATGCCTTATAACTCGAGAAGGAGTAATTTCTCCAATTTGGAAGTAAGAAACTTTTTTGTTGGAAAAATTGTCTTCTTTTTTTTCATATTTTTTAAATTAAAATCTAAGATGTCTTTCTTTGAGAAAAATCGAATTTTAATGTTAATTTTGCAAAATATCGAAAAATTAATGTTTTTCTTTAAACATTCATAATATATTATCAAAGTACGTAAAAAATGCTTCAAGAATCACTGGTCGTTTTTTAAAATCGGTGCTGTTCACTAGAAATTATAGAAGTGAGAAGTTTGACATAACGTTCTCAACGCCGAAACTTATGTGAGTTATCATGGTTGATAGAACAATAGATTGTGCAAATTTCAGCCCGATCGGAAAAAGAAATTTTTTTTGGGTGGATCACTTCGCGTGGAATGCACCATATATATATATATATATATATATATATATACGCACGGAGATAATTACATTCTAAAAACCGAGTCAAAGACTCCACACCAACCGCGACGAAAAGCGTCGCATCAAATAATTCATCCGATGCCTTCACGGGCACGCTCAGCCGCTTCCTTCTGGAGTATAACCGAGCTACAGAATTTGATAAAGGCATCTCTGCCCCCCTCACCACGGATTAACGCATGTATCACCGCGGGCAGAGACAGGTCATCGCCAACAATAGCGGTGAGCTCTGCCCTCTCCACCCGCCACGTAGGGCACTCCTCCAAAGTGTGGGAGGCCGTGTCCTGTGCCGAGGGACAGTGCCAACACCTCGGAAGAGCCTCCCTTCTAATACGATAGAGATACCACCCGAAACAGCCATGGCCTGTCAGGACTTGAGTCGCCCTGAAAGTTAGACCGACATTGGCCTCGATCCAATCCTCCAAATTCGCGGACAAAATACCAAGGATCCGCCCACCACCGTGCTCCGAGCGTAATAGCCATGATTTCCACTCCTGGATCATAGCACGATATGCTTCCTCCTTGATTTCGTTAACGCTCTCCGAGGGTGGGTTAATACCCTCAGGGAGCTGCCTTCTGAGCTCGGTGACACCTTCGTACACCTCGCGGTACATCCTCGCCGCCAGTTCCATAGGGGGCATACATGCCAACGTGGTATTCACTGCGTAAGCCACGGTACGATACGCCCTGATCATGCGACCCGCTATTCGCCTCTGAGCCGCCCTAAGGACCCGACGAGAAGTCCCATTCCATATTAACTCGTCCACCCAAATCGGAGACCCATACAGGGCAACCGAATTCAGGACCAACGCATAGAGTCGCCTAACCCTTCTCGCAGGGCCTCCCAGATTGGGGAGAAGCCTACAGAGGCTCAGCGCCATCTTCTCAAGCCGAGGAGCCAGTTGGCGGAAGTGATGTACAAACTTCCACCTACCATCCAGCACAACTCCCAGATATTTCATGCAGGTACCCGCAGCAATTTCAACTCCCGCCACTCTAATCGAGGTAACCGGTGGTCTACCCCTCTCGAAGAAACCGACCACCTCGGTCTTCAAAGGGGACACAGCGAGCCCCAACTCCTCGATATGCTCAACTACGCAATTTACCGCCTCCTGTGCTAGGAGGGTCGCCTCCTGCCAATTACGGGACGCAGCAAGAACCATCGTATCGTCCCCCATAACACACCACACTACAATCCTCGGGGATATCTTCGAGAGACATCACCGAGTCGAATCCGATGTTCCACAATAGAGGGCCCAAGATAGAGCCCTGTGGAACACCCCGGCCAACGGAACGCGTCGCGAAAGGTTCCCTCTCAGTTGCGTATAAAAGCCTCCTGTCGGAAAGGTAACTGTCGATAATCCTGCGCAGGTAAACAGGCACCCGGTGCCTGCGAAGAGCCTCAGCGATCACCTCCCAAGGCAAGGAATTGAAGGCGTTGGAGATATCCAAGAATATCCCCAGAACCACGCACCCCCGCTCAAAAGCGTCTGTCATAAAGGACCTGACCAGGCAGATCGCGTCAATGGTACTCCTGCCGCGACGAAAGCCAAACTGATTACGATGCAAATTAGGACCCCTCCCGTAAAGATGACCATTAATCCTGCCGGCGATGACGCGCTCAAATAACTTCACCTCGTCATCAATGAGGCAAATCGGCCGATATCCTTCAGGCTCGTCATCCGGTTACTTCGGCTTCCGAAGAAGCATAAGTTTCGCCGTTTTCCACGAGATTGGGAAATATCTTCGCCTGAAGCATTCCGAGAACAGCGATCTGATTAAACCGCCTATCTCGCCAGCCGCTCCCCACGCTCTAGAAGGGATACCAGTAGGTCCCGGAGCGGCGTTCTTCTCTACCATTCTTCTGACCGCCGAAGCGAATTCATCGCCCGACACTTCCAAGCCAACGTCCCACTCGAACCGCGTCCCCGCGGCCCCCCGGTCAACTCCTGCCTCCCGAGGGGGGGGGGGGGGGAAGAACACGGTCCAACACCTGCTCAGACAGAGACTCCGTGAAAGGCGGGCTCTATCTCTTTAGCCTCCCCAGTACCGTTAGATAGGGTCGTCGCCAAGGGTTCTCGTCCAAGGTACGCACAAACACATCCCAGGACTCAGATTTTGCCTTCCGGAGAGCCTTGCTGAATTCGTCCCGACAGCTCCTATACTACGAGAGAAGTCTAGCCACCTCCTCCTAGTCATCCTGACTAGAGCGTCTATTCGATCTCTTCAACTGCCTCCTGGCGAAAGTGCACTTCCTCCTCAAACGAGAGAGCTCTTCGCTCCACCACGGAACCGCTCTCCTAGGGCGCGGGGAGACCCTAGGCATGGCCACATCGGCGCATAAGCCCATCGTCTGCTGCAACTTCATCACCGCAGCGTCAAGGTCCCATTCCCCGGGTGTTCCCCAGCTGGGCCAAAAGGCCACAGAAATGGCAGCCTGCATGTCATCACGAACGAACCTCCTGACAGACCATCTCTTAGCGTGAGGTGTCCCCCATCTTACCCTCTGGGCCTCGGAATAACCAATCTGGAGTTCTATATATCGATGGTCCGAAGCACTATAAACTAGGGAAACCCTGCAATCGGCTACTCTGCGCTCCAAGGCGACGCTCGCGAAAGAGATATCCACGATGGATTCCCCCTGAACCCTAGAGCAAGTAAAAGTGCTCCCACGGTTCAAAGAAATTAGGCCAAGGGCCGAGGCCCACTCAGCCAGAAATGTACCCTTCGACTCCGTAACCGGAGACTCCCACAGCCGGGCCTTAGCGTTAAAATCACCGGCCAGGAGCAACGGGCCCTCAAGAGAAGGGAGAACGTAACGCTCGATCTCCCCCATCATCTGCTCGAAGTCATCGAGACCATTGGTCGGCGAGATATACACCCCGATAACCGTGACATCGCCCCATTTCACTATCGCAAAGTTCCTACCCTTTCCCACAGGAACACAAGGGAAAGGGGAGCTGGATCTCCTCCAGACCACCGCAACGGTCCCCTCGTCATTTCCCCACCAGTGTGGATGGTCACGATGAACCACATAGGGTTCCGACACAATCGCAAGAGCGAAGTCACCCTCGTCCATACGCTGCAACATTAAGTTATGCGCGCCCGACCCTTGTTCAAATTAATCTGGAGGATTCTACTTGACATTATCCTGAAGTTGTTCCGGAGCTCCTCCTGCTCCATCTACTTTAGCGGCATTAGCTCTCTGCTCCCTAACATGATCCCACTCATCACCGAAGTGGGGCCACTCTCCAGCGTGTATGTCATCCTGTGACAGAGGCTCCAAGAATTGTTCCACCTCCATCGCCCCCGGAGCTGTCCCACACACCGGGGTGGAAGAACTGCCCACCTCCTGACTAACCTTACACTCCGCCAAAGAACGAGTCACACTTTCCGCTCTCGTATCCTTGTCCTGAATCGTCACCTCCTCGACCTCCATCGCGGACCTAACCGTGACCCTCGGTCGCTCAGCCACGCAACTCGCCAAAGAAGGAAGAGGTACCCTCCCAATACTAGGCTTACAAGTTGGACTCCCCATTCTGTGGTCCGCTTTCAGACCCCTATCCGAACAGAGGGTGTAACGAGCCTCCTGCGTACAATTCCTCGCCACGTGGCCAGGTTGGCCGCAACGATAACATCTATCACCGCGATCTATCTCGCTCCTACACTGTGCTCGGACGTGTCCCGGTTCTAAGCACCGGAAACACATCGTCGGGCGTTCTGGCAACAGGTCCGCTCTGACCATAGTTCAGCCTATTCTAATGCGCCTCTCCTTCGCAATCTTATTGGCAGCCAACACCGGACAACGGATCAATGCAAACCCCATCCCATTAAAAGAGGGGGAGATTTCACCTACCTTAATGCTTCCTAAGTTACAGCCTCTCAAAGAGGCAATCCTTTGTCCAATCTCCTCCTTCGAAACCGATTCCTCGATATCTCGGAGTCTTACGTCAGCGGTCTTCTCCGGCCTGGTAATCAGGACATCCTCGTGCTCCCTGAGGACATCCCGCATTTGGTTGGCCAAGATGTTCGCCTTCCTCGTTCCATCAGTCCCCGGGATCTCCAATAGCAAGACTCCAGTACGGGCCTTTCTGGGACGAATGTCCTCGATCCCTAGGGCTCCGAGGTCTATCTTCTGCTTAGCCAGGCTCATCGCCTGGACATGGGTGAAATCACCACGACAACTAATCTGGACTGCCGCGATTCGAGGGGCTCTCCTAAGCGGTGGAGCCCTCCTCACTGACCGAGACAGAGAGACATCTGTCTCCTTCTTTGGCGTGGATATCGCCGAAGCCTTGTTTTTAGAGCGCCTACCGATGATTTGTGACCATTTCTCTTTTCCAGCAGAGTCCACCGATAGGGCCACTGAAACCTTGCTATCACTCTTACTGAAACCTATGGCATTAGGCTGAGTCACTTGTCTCATCTTAGCCTTGTTGCTTAATGATCTCGATTTCTCTTATACGAGGTTTCCCCGCCTGTTTGCCCAAGGCTTTCCTAACCTCCTCTGAAACGATATCCCGGATCATATCCCCCAGAGCTCTGGGGGAATCCACGGTTTTGTCCTCCGGTGCCTTATCCAGACCAGAATCAGAAACCCTAGAGGGTCCAGCTCCGTCCTTCCTGCTCCTTTCCTTGATGAACTTCATGTTCGCTTCGTATAACGCCTTCGTTTGAGAAAGGTCCTCTCTAACGACCCTAGTCTTCCCACCTTCCATAGGAATCACGACCCGGGACCACTCCAAGGGAGCAGACCTCTTTGCAGACTCGACCTCCACCTCCATCTGTTCGGAATCCGAGGTAGCCTGCCTGCTCACGGCTTTAAACTTTGCAGACGAAGTTCGTTTGGGACTCTTCTTCCCTAACGCACTGGTCTTCTTACTGTCCTTCGGGACCACTGGAGACGTCTTCTTTCTTAACGCCAATTCTTTATTGGCCACTTCCAATTGAGCACGATAGGCTTCCGCCTCCCCCGCAGCTTGAAGGGCCTTCCTTCTCTCTGATTCAACTTCAACTTCAAGTCGAAGACGAAGGACCGCCACTTCTCTCTTCAGCGACCTCACCTCCTCCGCATGGGATTCCTCGGGGGACATCTGAATTCGATCCTTGAAAACACTCGTGATACCGAGAGTAGCCGCTGCCGCCGCCTTCAATGACTTTTTAAAAGTCCCTTTCAATTTCGAAAAACACCTGGCCACTCTTATCACCTCCGCCAGGTTCGAAGAAACCCTAGAGGCCAACTCGTCATTGGATAGCCCCTCCACGGATTCTTTAATCTTATCAAGGTTAATCCTAGATTTCTTGAATAGTTCAATGTGACTATACGCCCGAATCACTCTCTCTCGCTCAAGTTTAAGAGCAGCCTCCTTCACAGCATTTAGCCTCTCCACCTCTTGACGCCTACCCACATAGAACCCTGTAGTTCTATCACTTCCATACGAGCTTCTTCGGTCCCTTTTTCGAGACCCAGTAGATATCTGACAGCCCACCTCCAGCAATGCTGACTTCTCAGTGGGCGATCCGTCTGAATCACCCCCCAACGCCACCGACATTGAACTGCCCGCCACCGAGGGTGCAACAGAATCCTCCTCATCCGATGAAATCTCCTGTATGAGCTCCCCGGACAGGGGAGTCATACTTTCCACTGCCTTGTCTTTGCGGAGAGAGGAGCTCGGCCTAGCAAAGAAGGCCGACTCCTGCCGTCCCTCGGAAGTCGAACGCTGATCCTCCTCGCGTTCCCTCTCGAGGTCGCCACCGGATACCGCCTCCCCCTCAACCACGTCACCAGAGACTTGCTTCGTCTGAATCATTTTACTTTTAATATTAATAATAGATTTCTTGGTTAATCCCACGACCCACATCGGCTGACCCTCCAGGGTATACCCTCCCCGCCCAAACAGGCGAGGCCTCAAGTTCCCCCGGGGGGAGGGCTATGTCTCGGGCCCCCGGTAAACATCATCGAGGGCACTGGACTAACCCAGACTATAGTGCAATGCCTGGGAATTTCAGGGGTCCCCCCGCTCCGACACGGGGTGCACCGATGAGGGTGGAGCCACCCGGGGGGCCCCATGGACAGATTGGGCCATGGAGGCGCCCCCCCCTCCGCGCCCGCCCCGCCAAGGCGACCAGCACACGAATGCAGAAGGGGCGAATCCCCCCTACATCCGCCGAAAACGCCACTCCGTCCCCCGCTTCGGAAGGGACGCCGTCGCGGGAGACCCAGGGTACAAACACACTACCTACCCTCCCAACCCGACCAGGGCCAGCCGAGAGCGGGAGACCTGACAGGGACAGCCTCCAAAACAGAGTTCTCCGCCGCGCGGAGCGGATAAGGCGTCCCCGGCGAGCCACCCCCCACGGCCCCCAGACCGAGTCGGAAGGCCAGGACATCACGCCCCGCACCGGAAACGTCCAGTTGGCCGCGATGCCCCGTCACATCTATACACGCATAACTCCGCACGCCAATACACACACACAGTCGCACGCTCACACACACACCGGAGGATTCCGCACAATCCCCCAGACACACCACGCGGATCCCCACGCCCGGGCCGATGATGGGCACAAGCCCGCCCGGGCGGGAGGACCGCAATACACACGCATCCATAACACCGGCACCCAGAACGCACAACCACGCAAACACACGCTCCTAAGCGACTGACATCGCCCGAACCGATGATGGGCAAAGCCCGAACGGACGATGACAGCCGCAACACACCAAAGGGTGACCACCACCACCCTCTATCCTCCAAGAGGAGAGAGGGCCTCTGGGACTATGTCCCAGCTGTACAGCGACTCCCTATCTAACGGGAGACACCGTACGGGGCACTGTTAGCACCCGGGACCTAAAGTCACTAGATTAATAAAGTACCGCAATTCATAAGACCAATGTATAAGGGTGCAAACCCATGCAGCGGAATAGCGTAACGCGGAACGAGAGCAGAACCAATAACGAGCATTCCGTGTTTCTAGAGAATCTCGTGATTGGTTCTACTCTCGTTCCGCGTTACGCTATTCCGCTGCATGGGTTTGCACCCTAAGGATTTGGAGCCAAAATGGCGTCGAAAAGTGTAAATAGTGCTCACTTTCAGAATGTATCTACCATGGACATAGAAATATAGGGACAGAGCATTAGCTCCGAAGATAGGTGAGGGGGGTTATTCTGAAATGCGGGGGGAGTACATGCCTAAATTTTATTGGCTACAGCTATGCGCATGCTCAGTATCGTGTAACATCGACTTAGCGGCCAATCGCAAATAAATGATCGAAACAAAAATTCGTTGTTAAAAAATTAATTGTAACCCATTACCAATAAGATTAACAAAATAAAACAATAATTAGAAATCTGAGGAGGAATTATATAGAAGTTCTAATGAGAAAAATAAAAATATGTACGCATATTCAATATTAAATAATTATTATTTATTTGGTACTTTTATTCACTATGAAAAAATTTACTAAATTTTAATAAATATTTTTTTGAATAGTTCTAGCGAAACATTTAATAAATGTAAAGACGTATTTATTAGATCTAAGAATCATTAGTTTGAATCAACTAAGGCGGAGGAGATGGCCATCGGGGGTCTCGCTCTTGAGCCGGACGGGGCAGTTCTAGCTGTGGGGCTGGCGTCTCTCGACACCCTAGCTAAGGGTGTCGAGAGATCCAAAAACATCAAGGGGGACATCGTGGGGGCCCTCTGGAGAGGGCTTGCCGGCCTCACGGCCTCCCTCAACATTTTGGGGGAGCGTGCGGAGAGAAGTGGCGGCGGTCCCTCCCGTCCTAACGCGGAGTCCGTGGAGTTCCGCGCCCTTGTGCGTAAGGTCGCGGAATTCCGACAGGAAAACGTGACTCTGCGAGAGCAGTGCAGGGCGCTGCAGGAGAGGATCGAGAAGATGGAGGAGAGGGAGAGGAGCCGGGCCGCGGATTGGGGGACCCGGCGCTCGCTCTCTCCGGCCGTCGGTAAGGGGGGTCGGGACGCGGCGGTGCCTCTCCCCCAGAGGATGAATTTGAGGAGTGTGGGTCGGGGTGCCGGTGTGGGCCCCCTCCCCGCCGCCTCGCGGGGGGATGTCTCCGGGACGAAGGGAGACGAACTCGAACTCGAGATGGACCTGCCCGAGGTCTGGAGGCCAGCGTTGAAGGGCAGGTCCAAGAGAGTGGACGCGCCCACCGGCCTGGTCATTGACAGGGTGGAAGACCAGGGGAGACCGGTCGACTCCCCTCTCCCAGCCTGGCCCCGTGAAGAGATGAGAAGGAAGGCGGGCTCTCCCACTCCTGGAGAGGGTTTGGAGGGAGCTCGCGGGAGGGTGGAGAGCCCTCTGAGAAGGAGTAAGAAGAAGAGGAGTAAAGTCACCGGCCGAGGCCGGGACCCTCCCCGTGTGAGGGGGAGGACTTCCTGGCCAGAATGGTGGGCGGTGTGATCAGGAGGGAGCTCTCCCGTCTCGGGCTGATGCCCGCGGGTGGCGGGTCGGGGTCTTCTCGCACCCCTGCCCAACGAGCGGCGCGCAGCCGTAGGAGAAAAGAAAAGAGGAGGAGAGAAAGGGGAGTGGTATCGCCGCACCCTTGGTTCCCGCCGTTGGCCGGGGGGGGGGCGCGGGGGCTGGTCCGTCTGTCGGCGGCCCGGGGGTCCCGGTGCACGGTGCGCAGGCTCGTCCCGCTGGAGGGACGGGTCGTGCGACTGCGCCGGTTCCCGCCGGGAAACAGGAGACCCCCTGGACCGTGGTAGGATCCAGGGGGGCTCGGAGGGGTGCCGCAAAGAAGGCGGCCTCCTCCGGGCAGAAGGGAGGATCCTCAGGCGTCGGGGGGGCGGCCTCCGCACCGAGAAAGGTCTCGGTAAGGAGGCCGAGGACCGCCGCCGTGACGCTGACGGCTCCGCTGGGGGGATACGCGGAGGCCATGAAGACGGCCAAATCCGCGGTCCCTTTCGCGGAGCTGGGTATCTCGGACCTCCGGGTCCGGAGGGCCATCACGGGCGCTCTGGTCCTGGAGGTTTGGGGTGCCGAGGGGGCGGAGAAAGCCACCCGTCTGGCTAAGAAGATGGGTAAGGCCTTCGCCGGGCGCGACGACATCAAGATCGCGCGCCCGGTGAAGACCGCGGAGCTGAGAGTCACCGGCCTGGATGACTCGGTGTCCGCCGAGGAGGTGGCGGGCGCCGTGTCGGTGGCCGGTGGCTGCTCGGCGTCGGATGTGCGGGTGGGGGACATAAGGATGACCCCTCCGGCACCGAGGCGGGGTGAGTACGCTGCCCCGTGGAGGCAGCGCGCTCCCTTTCAGAGCGGGGCCGACTCAGAGTCGGATGGGTGAGTGCGCGGGTGCAGGTTCTCCCTGTGCGCCCACTCCAGTGCTACAGGTGCATGGAGTTGGGCCACGTAAGGGCGAACTGCACCGGCGCTGTGGACAGGTCCGGCGCCTGCTACAGGTGCGGGGCC